ACTTGTCACACATTTTCTTCTTTTCCTCTCATTTCTTTACTGCTATATGCTAAAAAAGTGTTTTTTATATTCTTTTAGTGGTTACAATAGCAATTACAACATACAGTTAAAATATCATATAAATTGATAGTTTTATCATTTCCCTGACAATCTGAGAACCTAAAACACCTTCCCTCTACTTAGCCCCTCCTCAGTTTGTTACTATTAAGATGTATTTTAATCATCCATATATAATATTTTAAACTTTAAAATATTACTATAATTTTAAACTCTTTAAAATATTACTATAATTGTTTTATACAGTGAATGTTGAATTTTTTCTTACCCACATGTTTACATTGTCCAATGTTTTCCTTTTCTTCCTGCATTTCTTTGCTTCCTTATGGGATAATTTTCTTCTGCCTTCACTGTTTCTTTTGGTGTAGATCTTGTGACACACGCTTTCAGCTTTTTTCATTTCTTTCTGAAATGCCTTTATTTTGCCTTTTTTTAGAATTTGTTGTCCGGGCCCGGTGACTCACGCCTCTAATCCCAGCACTTTGGGAGGCCGAGGCGGGTGGATCATGAGGTCAGGAGATCGAGACCATACTGGCTAACATGGTGAAACCCCATCTCTACTAAAACTATAAAAAATTAGCTGGGTGTGGTGGTGGGCGCCTGTAGTCCCAGCTACTCAGGAGGCTGAGACAGGAGAATGGCGTGAACCCAGGAGGAGGAGCTTGCAGTGAGCCGAGATTGTGCCACTGTGCTGCAGCCCGGGTGACAGAGCAAGACTCTGTCTCAAAAAAAAAAAAAAAATTGTTTTCGCTCAGTATGGAATTCTAGATGGACAATTATTTTATATTAGCCCTTTGAAGATAGAATTCCAATGTCTTTAGACTTTCATCATTTTAACTGAGAAGTCAGTCATACTTTTAATGCCCTTTTTCTCTGATTGGTTTACTTTTTCTTTTTTTTTCCTCTCTGTAATTTTTTTTTAGCAGTTTTACTATCAGGCACCTAGAGGTGTTTGTCTTCATCTTTATCCTGATTTGGGCTCATAGCTTTTCTTTTTCTTTTTCTGTTTTTTTTTTTTTTTTTTTTTTTGAGACTGAGTCTTGTTGTATCACTCAGGCTGGAGTGCAGTGGTACAATCTCAGCTCACTGCAACTTCTGCCTCCCAGGTTCAAGTCATTGTTGTCAGCCTCCAGAGTAGTTGGGATTGCAGGCACCCACCATCATGCCTGGCTAGTTGTTGTGTTTTTAGTAGAGACAGAGTTTCACCATGTTGGTCAGGCTGGTCTCAAACTCCGGACGTCAAATGATCCACCTACCTTGGCCTCCAAAGTGTTGGGATTACAGGTGTGAGCCACCGCGCCCAACCCATAGCTTTTCTTTAATGTTTGAGTAATGTCTTTCATTAATTTTGAAAAATGAGTATACCAATTGCCTTTTCAAATATTGCTTCAGCTTCATTCTCTCCTCTCCAAGGGGGAACTACTGCCTATCTGTTAGACTTTGCTCCATTTCTCCGTCTCTCTTAAGCTCATCTCTGTATTTTTCATCACTTTTTCTCTCTGTGCTTCAGTATGGTTATTTTCTTCTGACCTATTTTCTAATTCACTAAATCTTTCCCCCCATGCATCTAATCTGCTGTAAACACATTTGAGTTCTCAATTAAGTTATTAAATTGACAATTTTACGTTTTCATTTGATTATTTTACTTACAGATTCTAACTCTCTATTGTAATTCTTCAGCTATTTTTTAAATCCCCTCTGATTCTGTTTCTATTCTTTTCCTCATGAGTTTATTCTTCTAGAGTTTCCAGTCATTTCTTCTATTTCCTTTATGATTGGCAATTTGTTATGGATGGCTGAATATTGTATATGAAAAGTGTACAGATGATGAGACTAGAGATGACAAAATTCTTTTGCTCTTGAGAGGTTTTACTTTTGCACCCCCAAGACAGAAGAGTGGCAGATAAAAAAACTATTCTCTGCTTAAGCCAATTCAAATCAGGATTTCGATCCTCAGGAAGACTGACCAATTTTTGCTTCACCCTTCTCCCTGGGCAGGGGTTGGTATAGGTCCAGATAGTAAATATTTTAGGCTTTATGGGCCTGCAGTCTCTGTTGAAACTACTCAACTCTGTCAATATAGTACAAAAGTATCTATAAACAATAAGCAAATTAATGAATGTGGCTGTGTTCCAATAAAACTTTATTTATAGAAATAGGCAATTAGCCAGATTTTATCTCCAGACTGTAGTTTTCCAACCCTTGTCCTAGGATGTAACTCTCTAGGGGTCCCGTCTCAAAACTGGGTTACTTAGCTGAGACTCCTTTTCTGCAGAGGGCCCTAAACTTTAGTTTTTATCTCCATAGGCTGTTAAACTTCTGTTAGATTTGCAAACTTTTCCAGCCCAGTGGTTTATTTTATCACTTATGAAATTAGCAAATACCCCAAGAGGAAAAGCAACACCAAATGTTGGGCTCACTTCTCTGTACTTACCCTCTCTCCAGGACCTGAGTTTCCAAGACAGTTACTTGGGTAACTCTGTGATACTTTCACAGATTTTTAAAAACTTGATCTAGCTTTTATCCTTGTTCTTAGTACAAACAGTCTATCAGAGTGAGAGGCAGATGAAGATCTTTTCTGAAATTCATTTTTACCATTGCCTTAATAAAGAGGGGAATTTATTTATTTATTTATTTTTATTTTTATTTTTTGAGACAGAGTCTCATTCTCTCTCCCAGGCTGGAGTGAAGTGGCGCGATCTCAGCTCACTGCAACCTCTGCCTCCCAGATTCAAGCAATTCTCCTGCCTCAGCCTCCTGAGTAGCTGGAATTACAGGCGCCCGCCACCATGCCCAGCTAATTTTTTGTATTTTTAGTAGAGACGGGGTTTCGCCATGTTGGCCAGGCTGGTCTTAAACTCCTGACCTCAGATGATCCACCCACCTAAGCCTCCCAAAGTGCTGGGATTACAGGCGCGAGCCACTGCACCCAGCCGGAAAAATAATCTTTATAGTGTGAGTTTTATGTCAGAGATTGACAGACCACAGGGTATACACAAAATCCAGCTGGCTGCCCTCAACCTTCAAATGACTGTTAAAATGGAATCTGTTTAGTTCTGTGTGCTGACTGTTCTTTCCTTCGTTCTTACCCAAAACAGCCTCCTTACTGATCCTCCCCATATTCCTTATCAAAATTTTTCTCTACGTGATAGCTAGAGTGATTCTTATAAAACATAAATGTGAGCATGTTACTTTCCCTACTTAAAACTGTTTAAAGATTCCTCATCCCTCTTAAAATATAAAATATAAAAATGGTCCTTACATTGAAGGGCCTTACAAGCTGCCTTTAAGTTTGTCTGGCCTCGCCTCTCTCTCCAACCTGATTTTTCAACATTTCCCTTGCTAAAATCGTACTATCTACCTGTAATTAATTGCTTTCTATTCCTTGAACTGGCCCAATTCCCTCCAACCTCAGTGCCTTTGCACAGGCTCTTTCTGGATCATGACCTCCCTCTTGCCTTTGCCTGGAGTCCCTAGATATCCTTCAAACTCAGCTCAGGTTAACTGTCTCTAGGAAGACTCCTCTGAACCCTAAATTCTGGCCTAAATTCAGAGTACTATGTATTTCACCCATAATGTTTCTTATTCTCTGCTATTGAAAATGTCTGTGCTTACTTATTTGTAACCTGTAATCTCCTGTGAGCTTCAAGAGGCAAGGTTATCTTTAGTCTTGAATTGTTAGCATCGAGCACAGTGCCTGGCCCATAAAAGGCACTCAGTAATTGTTTGTGAGGGAATGAATGGAAGACATGCTTTAAATATATTTAGCAATATTTACTTTTCTTTATGATATTTACATTCATTGATGCTTAGTATAACACTATGAGCTGGGAAAGCAGTACTATTCCTGTTTTCAAAATGGGAAACTGGAAATAGAGGCCAGATGACTTGCTTGGGACTTTCCAGCATGTTTGATGGTAAACATAGACCTCATCTCTAGGTTCTGTAGGTCTCAGGCCCTGTGTTTGGATTGGGTACCATAGTTTTCCCTCACTGGATACTTTATTTCTCCTTTTACCTTCTTTCCTCTTTTATTTATTTTCCATTTTCCCTCCCCGATGACTGGTGTTAAGGCTACACTGAAACAGAGATGGTAGTACCTTGATTAGTCAAGAGATTTGGGGATTTTTAGAGAGTTTAATCATTCATCATTAAGCGAAACTTCTCTCTCCCATGGCGACTCTGTGTTAATCTGGGCTTGGAATGCGGGGAAGAGTAAGAGTACATATGGGGTGCTAACTCCTCTGTTTCAAAATGAGATTATCCACAGAAGTCACAGGAGTTTGTGCAAGGTCCTTCATACTGGAAAATTACTTTGTAATTTAAACCCATGATTTAGACCCAGCATGTGAGTCCTTATAATTAGATAATTGTAAATGACTTTAAAACTGTGTGTGATGCTTGGGAGATCAGAAATGGACGTCAGGTTAACCACCTTGTCAGAGTCCTCAGCTATTGACAGTGGGATTATACATTCATGTAGTGTGAAAAGGAAGAAGTTTGTATGTAAAATTAATAATATAATGAGTGGAAACAGCAGTCTCTGTGGTTCCTTAAAGGAAATAAGGCTGATTAGACTTTTAAATAGTTTACCACTAACTTCCTTTTTGAAATCACTTAAGACCAATGTGTATCTTTTTGTGTGTTTGTGTGGGGTTGGGGGAAGCTGCACATTTTTTTCCTTTGTCTGTGAATTCTGTACCATAGAGTATGCTAGGGTCGGTTAAGTTGTAGAGAGCAGCACTTGGAGAGTAATGAAGCTGGATGATGGTTCAATTGTTTTCTAAAAATTGGCTCTTGAATGTTACATGTGGAGAACCCTGGTCCAGGTGAGAGACAGGAATGGAAAGCTTAGATTGAGAGGCCGGGAAACACTGATTTTCCTGGCCCCTGTTCTGGCTTGACTGGAAAGCTTTAAGAGCATTTTTATTCATACCTTTCAGGTAGCATTCTTTTCAAGTGGATGACCATGGAATCAGAGAAGATCTCAGAGAAGCAGGAGGAAATTCTTTCTGTCCTGGAAGAAAAATTTCCTAACTTACCTCCAAGAGAGGACATCATCAACGTCCTACAGGAGACCCAGTTCAGTGCTCAGGGTGAGTGACTCTGTTCCCAGCTCTCTCGTCCCTCACGAGTAGGGATGGTTTGTGGCGTGGAGTGTTATCAGCCCTGAGACAGTATATTTGTTTCTTTGTTTTTTTATACAGAGTCTCGCTCTATCCCCCAGGCAGGAGTGCAGTAGCATGATCTTGGCTCACTGCAACCTCCACCTCTCAGGTTCAAGCAATTCTCATGCCTCAGTCTCCCAAGTAGCTGGGATTACAGGCATGCGCCACCACAGTCAGCTAATTTTTGGCATTTTTAGTAGAGGCAGGGTTTGACCATGTTGGCCAGGCTGGTCTCGAACTCCTGGCCTCAAGTCATCCACCTGCCTCGGCCTCCCAAAGTGCTGGGATTACAGGTGTGAGCCACCACGCTTGACTGAGAAGGTACATTTGAATGTGTTTCACTTTCTTCCTATTGCTTGTGCTGGTAGAAGGTTTTCAGGCACATAATGTTGGCTCCCCTGGAAACAGACAGCTTGTACTGTGGCCTCTACTCTGAGGCCTTCATGCCTAGATGTGTGGTTGATTCACGTGTCTAGTGCACGTCTCAGGTGCATCATTGCATGCAGTCCTTGTGCTGACGGGATTCTATTTTTGAGAAGATGGGAGGAGCAATGTCAAGTACAATGGGATTTCATAAATCAATTAGTTTGAGAAGGAAATGAGCGAGAAGATGGCTATATTGATGAAACTGTTGTCAGTGTCTAGGCTTTGTCAGGACAGTGAATTTCCTGGATCAACTATTTTACAATAATAAATGGCTATAATTCACTGGATACCTGCTTTATACAGGTTTTGATGGAGTAGATTGGTAAGGATGATCTTGCTGAATCCTCATGACAACCCCAAGAGTCAGTGCTTTGTTGTCCCAGTCTCCAGATGAGGGAGGACACGGAAGTGCAGAAAGCCTTCATTGCTTTCCCAACATCAAACACACGCAGCCGGCAGGTGGCCAGGCCAGTCCTAAACCCAGCCTATATGTCTTTAAGATGTAAACACTAAATTACATAACTTTCTTAGTTCAGGAACCCCGTCCCCAGGGGCAGGAGGGGCAGAGCCTGGGGCAAAGTGGTTTATGTGGGAGGTGGTTCCAGTGAACACCGATAGGGGAATGGAAGCAGGTTGGCTCCATGGGAAACCAGAGCTTAATCCCACCAGACACCACGAGAAAGAGGGTAAACTCGTACTTCAGGGTTGTCCCACCTGAGGGATGCAGTGGTATGCTCATCTGGGCTCCAGGAGCTGATGGTTAAATGTTCAGGAATTTTGGGAGTTGGGTGATGTTGGATTGGTGGCTTAAGATCAGCCATAGTAGGAGTATTTAGATCCCTGAAATCAACAAACACTACAAATCAGGATTTGTTACTGGCTGTTAAACATTTACTAGCAGACCACTGGAAGAGTGGGCTACTCAATCCCAGAGGGCCTTAATTCTCCAGCATAGGCTCTGGTGGCCAAGGAAAGCCCTCAGGAAAAGAGAGGCAGGTGCTGGTGGTGGAGCATCATGCTGGGTGCACTGGGATGGGAAAGTTTGAGGAAATGGGGTGGGGCCTTCGCAGTGTCCATTGCACCTTCTGTTACCTATGCATAGATGTGCGTGTACATATGTGTATGCTGCACAAGGGAATGCGTTTTGTCATTCATATTCACAATGACACCAAACTTTTAATGTCACAATGTCTTCAATAAATCATTTTATGCTGCATTGTAAAAGATTGTGGCTTTTCAATCTTTGAGTCAAAGAAACATATTTAGTAACTGTCTGTTCCCCTATGCTGCTGTGATTGACAGAGCGTTCTAAGTGGGTAGCGCTAGCAGTGGTCTCTGAAGCCTTAACATACATCTGGGAAGGATGCAGTGCTTTACTAGGCTTTATTATAGATCTTCCTCCCAAGAGAGTAGACCTAATCAGACGTAATAATGTAGCGTGAGAATTAAATGTCAAGCCAGATCCTTTGCGGCTTTACTGTGATAGATTTCATTGAGTTCCATTGGTCAACTGACTACAACTATGCAGTTCTGGATAATTTAGCCATTCTGAATTATTACTCCCATTAATTAGGGAATTTAATAACTCCTATTATCAGAGCCTATTATGAGGGTAAGCAACTTAATTAAAATAGTCTTATGAGCCACATTTATAAAGTGCATTTTGAATGAAATTATACTAGAAAACATGGGGGCTTACCTAAATGCAGCCTGAAAGCCAGTTTTGGCTTTGTTTGGTACTATTTGACTAGTTTGCATTGTGATGCTAATTTTTCTTCATTTGTCCACCTCCACCTGTCCATTCCCTGCCTTTGTCTGCTCTGGGGCTCCAAGGTGGACCCCTAAGTATTTAATCTTATGTGCTCCTGCAACACTGGCTTCTGGTTGGGTGTGACCAATGGAAAGAGTTAGGAACAGGTAGGGATGGGGGCAAGGAGAAGAGTGAGAGTGTAGTGGATCTTCCCTGCCTTCTTCCTGCTTTGGTGGAAGTTTCTGCAGCCAGTCTTCTCCAGTTCCAGATCTCTGTTTTCTTTCTGGGTCCCTTTGCTAGCCTCTGGATGCCTCATCATCTTTTATTTACTTTCTCATCCAGCCCACATCTCTGTAAGTGTCCTGCCATTAACACATCTTCTTTTGCAGCAAAAGAGGGGCATTTTTCCTATTGGGATCCTAACTGATGCAGACGTGATGTGATTATTGCCTTTGTGTGTGTGTGTGTGTGTGTGTGTGTGTGTGTGTTGTGGATAGAAGTGACATTTCAGGGGAAAAGAATGAAATTTACAGAGTAAATTCTTAAAACAATCCCTTGATATTACAAAAAAAAAAAACCCTCAATTATAACATAGTGGTTTCTTTTTTTTCCTGTCATCCACAGGTTTAAGTATTGAACAGACAATGTTGAAAGATCTAAAGGAACTGTCTGATGGAGAAATAAAAGTGGCCATTAGTACTGTGAGCATGAACCTTGAGGTAAGGGTGGGAATGCTTTTTTAGCAATGATCAATTTCCCACAATTGCAGTCTGAGCAACTGGAATGTAACTCTCTCCATTGGATAAGTCCATGGTAGTCCTTTGCTTCTTTGTGATACATTTGACTTGGAATATAGTGGCAGGTTATTATTTGGGTGAAAACACTATGCTAAGTCAATGAAAAATTCTCAAGATGAATGCTCTTTCATTCATCTCAGTAAAACAAAGCCTAAAGCTCTTTCATTCATCTCAGTAAAACACTCAGATGTGGGTGTATATTTAACCTGTTTAATAGAAATTATGATATGTGTGATCAGGTTCACTTCCATATTTTCTGTGTACCACCCTGTATTGTTCATAGAACTTTTCTTAAAAAAAAAAAAAAAACACAGATTATCTTTTGATCTTCAGAACTATTCGGATGCATGCCATTTTGGTAATCAGTGGTGACAACTCAAGTATTAATTAACAAGGAACCTCCTTCCAATCTGTTAACTGAATGGCTCAGAGTGAATGCTACTTTTGTCTTTGTGTGTTTCCTTGGTGAATTATCTTTTGTCTACTTTGGGAGTTTTCAATGACTTATATGTTAATCTTAATTAACCTAACTAATGGGAACTATATTTTATAGAGGCACATTTGTGCATTTGTAGAAGTCTGCGTATTTCTTTACTGTTGCGTTGTCTTTATTAGGTTATCTATGTTTGGTTGGGCACTTAGCTCTCAGGTAGAGTTTATGGAGATAAAATATGCTCTATAGGAATTTGTCTTTTGGTTTTTAGAATTGTATGTTACTATTCTTTCTTTCTTTCTTTTTTTTTTTTTTTTTTTTTGAGGTGGAGTCTTGCTCTGTCACCCAGGCTGGAGTGCAGTGGCACCATCTCGGCTCACTGCAACCTGCGCCTTCTGGGTTCAAGTGATTCTCCTGCCTCAGCCTCCCGAGTAGTTGGGATTACAGGTGCCCGCCACCACTCCTGACTAATTTTTGTATCTTAGTAGAGACAGGGTTTCACCACGTTGGTCAGGCTGGTCTTGAACTCCTGACCTCAAATGATCCACCCGCCTAGACCTCCCAAAGTGCTGGGATTACTGGTGTGAGCCACCATACCCGACCTATTCTTCTTTTTCTCATGGTGATGTTGACTATATCAATGTGTATATTTCTCTGGAATAGCAGGCACTCATATTGGTGTCTACATCCTCAGAAAACCCAAGAGCAAGCCAGGTGCTTTCTTTTCTGTGATCTTTTTGTCAAATTTATTTCCAGTTTATAAGCATTGTAATTCAGCTTATAAATCTGTATGAAAACTAGGAGGCAGACTGTGACTTTTGGTGGCACCTCACAGTTTACAGAGCGTGTTCTCATGGTATGCACTTGATAAATTGACTCAACTGTTTCCATGGACTTTCAGGTTGATAAATGCTCCATATGATTAGTTATTGATGTGAACCAATTCAACAAATATATTCAATTTGTGATGTAGTAACTATATAATCACCATCAATTAGAACTCTGCTTTGTGCCTAAAAACCCAAGGAAAACATGGATCTTGCAAGGGTCAGTAGCTCTGAGAATCATTTCTACTAGTTCAAGCCTTAGGGTTTTCTTTCCCTTTTCCCCTCTCCTCTGTCTTCCTTCATTTAATGGCATCTTATTAGGTTTTAAATGCCTTGTTTGGAATTCCTTCCTAAATTAACATAGAATGTCTTGTAATTGCTTTGGGAACTGTCTGTAATTAGCAAATTATTTTAAGGCTATTAATATTACAGACTTACTGTAGCTTTAATGTACCTCCATTTATATTATAGGGGTATGCAAATGGCTTTGTCAGATGTGTTAAACTGTAAATGCCTATCAAGCAGAATAAGTGATAAAATAATCATCTTAATCTTGAAAGTAATTTACAAAGGTCCAGTAATTAATCAGGTGGTTAAGCACGTCTCTGGAAGTGTTATATGATCCTGGAGGAGAAGGACATTTGTATATAATAAAGAAGGGTACACAGTTTAAACTCTCATTGGCTGAATGAGAACTTTTCACTTTTGCATAATGGAGATATTAAAGATGACTGAGAAGTGGGGGGGAAAAAAAAAAAAAAAACCTCCTTAGTAACATCCTGTATCTTCCTTGAAAGAAAAAATGCAAATCAGTTATCCAATCTGTCTGCTGGAAAAATTCCCAAGTTAACGTCAGTTTCATTTTCTCTGTAGATTGTCCTTGGATGCAGTGGTATTTTCCCAATCCATACTCATATTTGATTACATTTCATCATTCCTTTCTCATTCCCATTCACCTCACTTTAAAAATTATCGACAGAATCTTCACAATCTTATTTTGTGGGTTTTGGAACAGTTGTATAATTGCTCGTTGAATCTAGGTATATTCTCAAAGAAACCTTCTTAGTTCCCATGACTTTCTGAATCTTGCTCACCCTCCAAAGCACGGTCAACCAAGGTGCGTCATGATAACTCTTACAAATTCACTATTTTTTATTACCACCCTCTGAACTCTTGCTAAATGTAGTCTAGGTGACCAACTTAGGACTTCACTCTTTACATTAGATCTTCCGTTGCTTTTGAATTTGTTTAATATATTTAATCATGGTCAGATAGTATTTTAAATTAATTGAGGATACTGATGGTATCTTTGACTTCTCTCCCTCTTCAATTTTCTGTAACAGCGATGGGCACATAGTAGATGCTTAGTAAATACAACTATTTAGTTAATGCTTGTTGGTGTTTGCAGTTCGTCCCTTTGCTATCTGATTTTTATTTCCTTTTGGATTTACATAAATCAGCTAGGAAAGCAAAGCCACTTAGCTAGGCATCCAAGGCAGTCTGCTTTTTCCTCTCCCAACGAGTTTCTACCAGACAACTATGGTTGAAGGATGACATCAAACAGATGAAAAATGGCCCACATATTTATAGAAAGTATGCTTATCCTGCTCTCCAAAAATGGAGTGAGAGGCTTTGCAAAGTAGTTAGCTATAGTCACTGAAAGAAATCAACTGTAGGTTCTGCAGCATGTCAGGGATACAGGAATGAAGATTCCTGGCATTTTCTATGGTTCTTTGCAGTGCTGTAATTCTACTGTTGTGTAAGTCATGGCCTTTATTTGGCTGATGACCCAGTTAATTTTCTTGGATGGAAATAGTCAGAAAATTAGAGAGATTTATCTCTCTGTAACTTACACAGCATGATCTTCAGAGGGAACCATTGAGTTTGGGAGGTAGAAATCACTGCCTTCAATAGATAGGTTATCTGGCACTCTGATAAGAAGAAAGCTTCTAAACCCCTTGTTTCTCATTTTTATTGTAGTTATCTCACAAATGTTCATTGTTATATAAATTACTGAATGAAATACATAAAAAGCAATTAATTACAATAATACAGAGTTTCAATGTTTTGCTCAGTACATGAAGTCAGAATGGATGAGATTTTGAGGGATGGTGGGTAGAAATGGCCTTATCAGAGGCGTGGCCAGAGGGGCAGCTCTTCTTACAGAGGGAACTGTGGGATAAGATAACTGCAGTCTCATTTCCCACGGTCTCCAAACCATTCCAAGTGTGAAAGTAGCATGCATCTTGTGGGGAAATGCACATGACATATTGGTATCCACTTTGTTGATTATTGTTACACCTGATCCTTTGTGGTTTTGTTGCTTGTTGATTTGATCATCAGAAGAGAATTTATGGATATCAAAGAGCAAACATTGCCTTTATTCCCTTGCCAGCAGAACTGGTAATGATTATACTTCTTGGGTCTAGTTTACTCCCTACTAAAGCAGTATATTAAAATGTTAAGGGGAAGAAACATCTTTTCATTCTAATGAAGTGCCACTGTAGCAAGGTTGCTCACGGTAGTACATTAATGGTTCCCTTGCTGACACCAAATGTTATTACACCTTCTTTAAGCATCTCCCAGAAGACTGTCAGTCATTATTAGCATCTTTACTCAGGAAAGACAATAGCCATGCACTGACTTGATCACTTTTTATTATGATCAATTGCAGTATGATTTATTCTTGTGTATGTGCTATATTGGTGTGCTAGAGCTGGCATAACAAAGAACCACAGACTAGATGACTTAAACAATAGAAATTTATTATCTCACAGCTCTAGAGGCTAGAAATCCAAGATCAAGGTGTTGGTAGGATAAGTTCCTTCTGAGAGCTATGGGAGAGAATCTGCTGCATGCCTGTCCCCTGGCTTCTGATGGGTTGCTGGTAATGTGTGGTATTCTTAGTACAGAGAAGCATCACCTGGATCTCTGCCTTCCTCTTCACATCCCCTTCCCTCTATGCATGTCTCTGTGTTCAAATTTCCCCTTTTCATAAGGATATATAATAGATTAGGACCCATCTGATAATCTCATCTTAGTTTATTTATTTATTTTATTTATTTTTTTGAGACAGGGTCTTGCCCTGTTGTCCAGGCTGTAGTGCGGTGGCATAATCAAGGCTCACTGCAACTTCCACCTCCGGGGCTCAAGGGATCCTCCCCGCCTCATCCTCATGAGTAGCTGGGACTACAAGCATGGCCACCACACCTGGCTAATATTTGGATTTTTTGTAAAGATGGAGTTTGCCATGTTGCCCAAGGCTGGTCTCGAACTCCTGAGCTCAAGCGATCAACCCACCTCAGCCTCTCAAAGTGCTGGGATTACAGGCATGAGCCACCACGCCTGGCTTCATCTTAGTTTACTATGTCTACAACCACCCTATTTCCAAATAAGGTCACATTTTGAGGTACTGAGAGTTAGGACTTCAACATAAAAGTTTTTGTGGGACAAAATTCAACCCCTAATGTATACTATTGTGAAAGTAGTCATTTTTCAGACAACTTAAAAGAATAAAACTTAAAATTTTCAGACTGCTTGTATGAACGTGCTGCCTGGTAAGCATATTTCATCTGTTGCTCCCACATTTTTATTTCATATCAATTTCCTTTAAATGAGGAACAGTGAGGACTTTTATCTCCTTTCTTCAGAGTTGGAGTCTG